GGTAGTAGCTTTCTGCACTACCTGGAGAGGTGGGGAAAGAGTCTTTTGCTCATCCTGTTCCCCCCCTTTCAAAAATGGGGCTCCCCCCCCCAAAAAGAGCTAGGATTCAGCTTTGCCCAACCCCAAACCAAGAACTGGCTGCCTTTGGATAAATTGTCTTTTCTCAAAACGAGACAGCTTGGAGTCTTATATATTGTCTTGGTATCTTTTATTTATACTGTGCATTGCAGATGTAAGTTAATCTGCAATCTTTTTTGGCAAATAGAAGTACCTTTAACTTGCAATATTTATGGCCAACGTGATTGGCCGTATTTATTGCAAATATAAATCGGTATCTTTTTATTTGTAATATTTACTGCAGGTATAAATTTATCTGCAATATTTTTGGCAAATAGAAGAGTCGTTGATTTGCAAGATTTATGGCCAATATAAGTTCATTTGCAGTATTTACTGCAAATATAAATTAGTATGTTTTATTTGTAATATTTGTTGCAGATCTAAGTTTATCTGCAATATTTTTGGCAAATAGAAGAGTCTTTGATTTGTGATATTTGTGGCCAATATAAGTTCATTTGCAGTATTTACTGCAAATGTAAATTGGTGTCTTTTTATTTGTGATATTTACTGCAGATATGAGTTTACCTGCAATATTTTTTGGCAAATAGAAGTATCTTTGATTTGCAATATTCATGGCCAATATGATTGGCCATATTTATTGAAGATATTAATTGGCATGTTTTATTTGTAATATTTGTTGCAGATCTAAGTTTATCTGCAATATTTTTGGCAAATAGAAGAGTCTTTGATTTGCGATATTTGTGGTCAATATAAGTTCATTTGCAATATGTATTGCAAATATTAATTGGAATCTTTTTATTTGTAATATTTACTGCAGATGAGTTTAGCTGCAATATTTCTGGCAAATAGAAGTATCTTTGATTTGCAAGATTCATGGCCAATATTCATTTGCAATATTTATTGTAAATATTAATTTGCATCTTTTTATTTGTAATATTTACTGCAGATGAATTTATCTGCAATATTTTTGGCAAATAGAAGAGTCTTTGATTTGCAAGATTTATGGCCAACATGATTGGCCATATTTATTGAAGATATTAATTGGTATCTTTTTATTTGTAATATTTACTGCAGATATGAGTTTATCTGCAAATCTGAAGTGGTGTAACCCTAATCCTATCCTATCCTATCCTATCCTATCCTATCCTATCCTATCCTATCCTATCCTATCCTATCCTATCCTATCCTATCCTATCCTATCCTATCCTATTTTTGGCAAATAGAAGTATCTTTGATTTGCGATATTTGTGGCCAATCTACATTCATTCGCAGTATTTATTGCAAATATCATTCGGCATCTTTTATCTGTGATGCTTGCCAGCTGCCCCACTTTGCAAGGGCTGGGCAGCGCAGAAGGAGGCGAGCATAAAAATAACCCCACCGAACCACCGATAATGCCCACGTGAGGACGCTCACCCAGAGCCACCCGCCAGAGCCACCCGGGGTCAAAGGTCAAGTGGAACACACAACCCTTTTAAAAACATCGGCCGCATCCCCACCACAAAAGTTCCCAGTTCAGGTTTTACTGGCGAATCCTGGCCTTCCCTTCGACTCTCTGCAAAGCAAACACTCAGCCAGAGATAATTTGGGGGGTGGGTGGGATGGCATAGGGAGAGGAGGGGGGATTTTGAGAGAGGCAGACCCTGGTTTTCAAGGGGATTGGAAATGCTCAGCTGTGAGACCGACAGCCTCCCTCCCTCCCTCCTTCCTTCCAAGGGTAGGAAAGTCTAAGAATAATGCAGTATTTTTTTTTTTAGTCCTTGTCAAAGAAGACTGCAAGAATCTTTGCAAAGGAAGAACTGGCTTTATCGAGTTGGAAGGAGAGGGAGGGGGAGGAAATTTGGGGGGGAGAGAAAGGAGGTCAAATTGGTGGAGAAGGAAGGAAGGAGGCAGAAGAAAAAAGAAGGAAAAGAGAGAAGAAAGGAAGGAAGGAAGAAGAGGCAGAAGGAAAAAAAGGAAGGAAGAGAAAGAGGGAAGGAAGGGGTGAGGCAGAAAGAAAGAGAAAATGGAAAGGAAGGAAGGAGAGGCAGAAAGAGAGAGGGAGAGAAAGAAAGAAGTGGGAGAAGGAAGGAAGGAGGCAGAAAGAAAAAAGGAAGGAAAAGAGAGCAAGAAGGAAAGAAGGAAGAAGAGGCAGAAGGAAAAAAAGGAAAAGAGAAAGAGGGAAAGAAAGGGGCGAGGCAGAAAGAAAGAGAAAATGGAAAGGAAGGAAGGAGAGGCAGAAAGAGAGAGAAAGAAAGAAGTGAGAGAAGGAGGAGGCAGAAAGAAAAAAGGAAGGAGAAGAAAGAGGGAAGGAAGGGGTGAGGCAGAAAGAGAGAGAGAGAGAGAGGAAGAAGTGGGAGAAGGAAGGAAGAAGAGGCAGAAAGAAAAAAGGAAGGAAAAGAAAGAGGGAAGGAAGGGGTGAGGCAGAAAGAGAGAGAAAATGGAAAGGGAGGAAGGAGAGACAGAAAGAGAAAAAGAAAGGAAGAGAAAGAAAGGAAGAAAGGAAGAAGAGGCAGAAAGAAGGAAGGAAGGAAGGAAGGGGTGAGGCAGAAAGAAAGAGAAAAGGAAGGAAGGAAGGAAAGAAAGAAAAATGCAGAGACTGATAAAGAGACATTTTTAGAGGCCTATTCGTTAAAAGAATCTCCAAACCACATACAGGAGAACTGCTCCCTGTCTGGAAATCCTGCTCTTCCCCCCCCTCAAAACCCCCTCCCCACATTTCTTTCAATCTCACTCACCCACCCCTCTTTTTCTACAAGCCCAGCTGCAATTGTTCTGGGGAGCAGCCAATCCATCCCATTATAATGCCAAATTTATTGCCGGGATCAAGGCCCCTTCCTTCCTTCCTTCCTTCCTTCCTTCCTTCCTTCCTTCCTTCCTTCCTTCCTTCCTTCCCTCCCTCCCTCCCTCCCTCCCTCCCTCCTTTCCAAGGAGCTACTAATCTCACTGCCAGGCAGAAGCTTCCAGAGTTATATTTTAATTTTTAATTTAATTTTTATTTTTTTTTAATTTGGGCTCCCGGAGACTCCACCCGGGCTCCCCTGCTTTTACAGGGGTCCGGGGTGGTCCGGGGTGGGGGGGAAGAGACAGGAGACAGGGGCAAAAATGAAAAATATTTGAGAGAAGGGAACAGGGTGGGGAAAAAAAAATGCATGGATTGGCAGTTTTGCACCGAAGGGATATTTCGGGAATAAGGGAGGGAGGCGTCTCTCTTTCTTTCCCCCCCCCCTTAAAATTAGAGATGGCAACCCAGATGCCAGCTTGTGCCAACTGCAGTCTTTTTCAGACTGAAAAAAAAATATGCCTACATTCAGAGAGAGAGGCAAGGGGGGCATCGGGGAAGATGTCTAGGGGAGACTCCAGAGAAGAAGAAAGCACCTCGAAGCCCCTACCTCCCCTCTTCTCCCCTCCAGCGCTGGGAAGGAACTGCTGGACAGATTGGGCAGCCATGGGGGAGCCCCCCCCCTCTTCCCGGGCAGCCAAGCCCACCCACCCTTTTAGCAGAAGGAAATCCATGACCTATTTTTTTTTTCTCTCTCTCTCTCTCTCTCTCCATAGACCTCTGGGAAGGTGGGGAGGGGGTGAGAGCGAGAGAAAGGAAGATGTTCTTTCCCCCCTACCCAAAAAAAAAACACAGCCCCCCCTTCCTCCTTTGGGCCACCCCCTCCCCAATATCCCCTGACCGTGGGAATGCCGCTCCCTTTAAACAGGGAAGCCCCCCCCTCCTCAAATCTCTGGAAGCCACTCCAAAAAAAATCTTCCCATCTCAATATTTCTCCCATCCTTTTCAGGGACCCCCCCCTCTCTTTAAAAATAAAACAAAAAAACAACATAGCCAAATCTCGGCTGAAACAGCCCACCCCTCCCCACTCCGGCACAAAACACAGACAGAAGCCCCCCGCCCCAAATTTGGGGAAGCGGGGGGGGGGAGAATTCGTTCCGCATTCACCGCCTGCCTTTTCTCCTTTCTTCTTCTTTCGTGTGTGTTTTTTTTTTTTTGGTTTTGTTTTTCCCTGCAGTTTGACCCCCTCCCGCACATCTCAAAGGTTTAAAATAGAAGCCCCCTCCCCATTTAAAAGCCCTGTACCCTGGAGCGCGATTTACGAGGCTGTTTTTGTCGCAATCGCGGAGAAGAAGCGCTCGGGAGAGGTGTTTTTTGTTTTTTTTTATCTAAGAGAAGAGATAGGCGGCCCCTTTGAAGCCTTCCATCCCCCCCCTCCCTCCCTGACACCCCCTCCCCAAAGTCATCAAGTCGTCGCAAAGGTCACATTCCCAAGCTTTGGCTTCTCTCTCTCTCTTTTTCCCCCCCCACCCATTTTTTTTTCCTACCTCCGTTTTTTTTTTCCCCAAACCCGCAGGTAAAAAAAAAGAGACCAAGACAGGTGGGATGGGGGAGAGGTGAGTGTGGGGTGTGGGGGTGGGAATTGCACGAGACCCTTCCCCATCTTTCGGCTTCGGAGGAAGCTTGGGGAGGGGGTGGAGGGTCCCTCTCCACGCTTCCCCCCCCCCACCGGTCGAAATGCTTTGCGAGAAAAAACGGGGGGGGGGAAATCTTCCCCATTGGAGACCCCTGGAAAAGGAAGCGTCCTTTCAGAGACCCCCCCCTTCCTCCACGGCCATTAAACGGACCCTTCCCATCTTTAATCAAGCTCTTGAAGACCCCTCCCTCAAGGGAAAAAAAAAAACTCCTAGACCCCCCACCCCCCTTTTCCCCAATCCGCCTCTTTTCTTAATGTCGGGGGTGGGTGGGTGGGGAGCCTCTCTTGGCAAAGAGGCGACCCCACCTCCCCCAACCTACAGCTGAGCCCCCTCCCCTCTCCCCCAGCTAGAGAGCAGACGCCTGGAGATGGGGAAGGGGGGGTTAAATAGGGGAGGGGGGAGAAAGGCAGCTCTGAAAGCCAAACCCCCCCATCCCACCCACCCCCAGCCGCCCCGAGCCTCACCCCAGCTGCTGCCGGTTCGCCCCATAAATTGGTGGGTCCGGGGGTTCCAGATGAATTCCTTCCATTCGTGCATCACCTGCCCGCAGGTTTTCTTTTCCTTCTCGACGGCCATGGCAGACACAAAAAAAAAAAGAAGAAGAAGAAGAAAGAAGAAGCCTCCCGCACCCGAGGCAAAAAAAAAAAAAAAAAAACAGGTGAGCTGCTGCCTGGAATCGAACCGCCGCCGCCGCCGGAGCAAGGTGAGCGAGCCGAGATGCTCCGAAGGCAAAGAGGACGCCGGGCGAAGCGGCCGCCGTTTTAATCTCTCCCTCGGGCCCCGCCCCCTTCATCCATATGCAAATCCGGGCGCCTCTTCAGCCCGGACGACCTGCGACCCCTCCTTCCCCCCCCCCACTTTCCCAGCGAGGTTTCTTGCGGGGGTCTCCTGGGAGGAGGGGGGGCCTTTTTCGCCCTGGGGGCTGCATTCCTAAGATTGACCTGGTTGAGAAAGAGAGAGAGACAGAGACAGACAGAGGCAGGGATGGATGGATGGATGGATGGAGAGAGAGAGAGAGAAAGAGAGATGGATGGAGAAAGAGAGATTAGAGAGACAGGGATGGATGGAAGGATGGAAGGATGGAGAGAGAGGTTAGAGAGAATGAAATAGAGATGGATGGATGGATGGAGAGAAAGAGATTAGAGAGAGAGAGAGAGAAATAGAGATGGATGGTTGGAGAGAGAGAGAGAGAGAGAGAAAGAGAGATGGATGGAGAAAGAGAGATTAGAGAGATAGGGATGGATGGAAGGATGGAAGGATGGAGAGAGAGGTTAGAGAGAATGAAATAGAGATGGATGGAGAGAGAGAGATTAGAGAGAGATAGAAATAGAGATGGATGGATGGAGAAAGAGAGAGATAAGAGATGAGAGAGGGATGGGTGGATGGATGGATGGATGGAGAGAGAGAGATTAGAGAGAGAGAGAGAGAGAGAAATAGAGATGGATGGATGGATGGAGAGAGAAATTAGAGAGAGAGAGAGAGAGAGAAATAGAGATGGATGGATGGAGAAAGAGAGAGATTAGAGAGAGAGATAGGGATGGATGGATGGATGGATGGATGGATGGATAGGGAGAGAGGTTAGAGAGTGAGAGAAATAGAGATGGATGGATGGATGGAGAGAGAAAGAGAGAGAGAGAGAGAGAAATAGAGGTGGATGGATGGAGAGAGGTTAGAGAGAATGAAATAGAGATGGATGGATGGATGGATGGAGAGAGAGAGAGATTAAAGAGAGAGAGAGAGAAATAGAGATGGATGGATGGAGAAAGAGAGAGATTAGAAATAGAGATTTAGGGATGGATGGATGGATAGATGGATGGAGAGAGAGGTTAGAGAGAGAGAAATAGAGATGGATGGATGGATGGAGAGAGAGATTAGAGAGAGAGAGGGATGGATGGATGGATAGATGGATGGATGGATGGAGAGAGAGAGATACAGACAGATATAGAGATAGAGACACACAGAGAGAGAGATTAAAGATAGATAGATATAGATGTGTGTGTATATATATATATATATATATATACACACACACAGACAGAGAGATTAGAGAGAGAGAGAGAAAGAGAGAGAGATGATAGACAAACAGACAAACAGACAGATTATTGATTGATATTCCATCTTTATTATTCTTATAAATACTTCAAGGTGCCAAGGCACCCAGTGCTCCTTCTTTCTCCTATTTCCCCCCCCCCCAACAACAATCCTGTGAGGTGGGTTCAGCTGACAGACAGAGAGGCACTTGGCCCAATGTCACCCAGTCGCCTTTCCTGCCTAAGACAGGACTCGAACTCACCGTCACCCTGTCCTTGGCTCAAAGTCACCCAGCCGGCTTTCATGCCTAATGCGAGACTAGAACTCACCGTCTCCTGGTGAGGGGCCCAAAGTCTTTTTTGTGCTTAATGGCAGGACTAGAACTCGCGGCTGCCTGACTTCTAACCTAGCCAGGAGGAAATGGCAAGCTTTTTTCCTCAAAACCCGAGAGGTGGCATCTCTTGAATGTGCGAATGCAACATTTAACTCGCCAACTTTTAAGACGGGTGGACTTCGACTCCCAGAATTCCCCAGCCAGCTCTTTTTTTTTCCCACTTTGCTGAAGTCAAGATATATTACGCTTACTGCATACCCTCCGTCTATGAAGAAAGTTATCCTCTATGGCTGCCTGGGGAATTCTGGGAGTTGAAGTCCACAGGTCTTAAAATTGTCAAGGGTGACAAACCCTGATTTACTGAAAGGGTCGAGGAAAGATGCCATTGCATTGAGGTCAGCCGGAAGAAAAGTCACCCCAGCAGAGCTTCGGGGGTGCCCCCAGGGCCTGTTATCTGTGGTGGCCCCCCCCTCCCTTCAAGTGCCCAGCAAAGCCCCCCCTCCCCACTCTGTCCTTGAATTTGAATACTACAAAGGGGGGAAAAAACGAGGAAGGAACATTTTAATAGATAGGTGAAGAAAGGTTTTTCTGATAAGAGGAAAAACATCTCGGTCAGCTCCACAGAAAGGACATTCAGGGCCCTGGGAACTAGTCCAGCCAGCTCTGTCCTCTTACCTCACGAGGACGCCCAAAATTAAAAATTCTCCTTTCTTTCAAAGGCTAATGGGAAAGGAAGGAAGGAAGGAAAGAAAGAAAGAAAGAAAGAAAGAAAGAGAAAGAAAAAGAAAGAAAGAAAAAGAAAGAAAGGAAAGAAGGAAAATGAGAAAGAAAAAGGAAAGAAGAAAGAAGACAGAAAGAAAGAAAGAAAGAAAAGAAAGAAACAAGAAGCAGAAAGGGAAGGAAGGAAGAGAAAAAGAAAATACTTTAACTAAAGAACATTGAAGTTATGAGGAAGGAAGGGAAGAAGGAAGGAAGGTAGGAAAGAAAGAAAGGAAAGGAAGGAGGGAAAGGAAGGAAGGAAAGGAAGGAAGGAAGGAAGAAAGGAAGAAGGAAGGAAGGAAGGAAAGAAGGAAAATGAGAAAGAAAAAGAGAGGAAAGAAAGAAAGAAAGAAGAAAGAAACAAGAAGCAGAAAAAGAAGGAAGGAAGGAAGGAAAGAAAGAGAAAGAAAGAAAGAGAAAGAAAGAAAGAGAAAGAAAGAAAGAAAGGAAAGAAGGAAAATGAGAAAGAAAAAGAGGAAAGAAGAAAGAAGAAAGAAAAGAAAAGAAAGAAACAAGAAGCAGAAAGGGAAGGAAGGAAGAGAAAAAGAAAATACTTCAACTAAAGAACATTGAAGTTATGAGGAAGGAAGGGAAGAAGGAAGGAAGGCAGGAAAGAAAGAAAGGAAAGGAAGGAGGGAAAGGAAGGAAGGAAAGAAAGGAAGGAAGGAAGGAAGGAAGGAAAGAAGGAAAATGAGAAAGAAAAAGAGAGGAAAGAAAGAAAGAAACAAGAAGCAGAAACGGAAGGAAAGAAGGAAGAAAGAAAGAAAGAAAGAAAGAAAAAGAAAATACTTCAACTAAAGACCATGGAAGTTATGAGGAAGGAAGGAAGGAAGAAGGAAGGAAGGAAGGAAGCCGCCTTGAGTCTTCGGAGAAAGGCGGCATACAAGTTGAACAAATAAATAAATAAATAAAGAAGGAAGAGCAAAAAGAAAAAGCAAGAGGGAAAGCAAGAGAGAGAAATAGAGGAAAAAGAGAAACAGAAAGAAAAAACAGAAAAGGAAAGAAAAGGAAAGAAGGAAAGAAAGAAGGGAGGGAGGGAAAGAGGAAAGGAAGGAAGGAAGGAAGGAAGGAAGGAAGAAAGAAAGAAAGAAAGAAAGAAAGAAAGAAAGAAAGAAAGAAAGAAAGAAAGAAAGAAAGAAAGAAAGAAAATTGTGTAAGGCACCCAGAGTTGACTGGAGTGGCAAAATAAATGTAATAACAACAATAACAACAACAACACAACAAAGAAAGACCTGCAAATAGAAATAACACGACTGGCAAAAATAAGCAACGATCGTTCCAGTTGTGACAGGCACAATCCTTCTGGCCTAGCTCCATTCCTCCCAACAATCCTGCGAGGTAGGCCAGGTGGCAAAAATATTTGAAATGATCTCCCCTCCCATCATCCTCTCCCTTAGGGCTTTTGAAAAGGGAGATAGGTGTGCCCTTCAGGGATTTTCCACCCGGCCCTCCACACTTTGAAAGCCCCCCTCCTCATTAAAATATCCCCCTCCTCTCCGATTTGCAATTCCTAAAAAAAAAAAAAAAAACACCCACATGAAAGGAGATCTTTGTGGTCTTATCTTGGGCTCTTTCCCAAGATAATGGAGCTATTTCCCTATCAGTTTTTTTTTGTTTGCAAAATCTGTTTTCCCTGGGGGGGGGGTGTGTGGAGAGGGGGAGACCCTGGCCCGGAACCCCTTCCCATACCTGGACAGCTTTGAAGATGGATGGACTTCAACTCCCAGAATCCCACAGTTAGCAGGTTATCATCATGCCCTCTAGCCCACTTTTAACCTGGTTATTAATTTAACTTGTCCTGGTTTATTTTTCCCACACCCCCTCACTTTGCTGAAAGTCAAGATATATTGCATTCCCACCGTCTATTAAGAAAATGACCCCATCCAAAAAAAAAAAAAATGTAATAAAGTAGCCTACCAATATTTAACAGTTAACAGAGTGGGAAGGGACCTCCGGAGGTCATCCAGTCCAACCCACTGCTAGAGATTCGAACCACCGAACTGCCAACCTTTCTGATCGGCAAGCTCAGCATCTTAGCCACTGAGCCACCTAGCCAGCCTTATTTATGCTTGCCCTATTTTAAATGTTGGGCTGTAAGGTTTTTTCGACCTTGGCAGCTTGAAGACGGATGGACTTCAACTCCCAGAATCCCCCAGTCCACCAGATCAGTTTTCCCGCTTAATTCTCATGCCGTCTGTCTCGCTTTTTAACTTGTTTATTAATTTAGGTGGTGGTGGGTTATTTTTTTTTTTTTTACACTTTTCTGAAATCAAGATATATTACATCTACTGCATTCCCACCGTCTATTAAGTTACCCGGTTAAAATATTCTCATGCCGTCTGTCTCGCTTTTTAACTTGTTTATTAATTTAGGTGGTGGTGGGTTATTTTTTTTTTTACACTTTTCTGAAATCAAGATATATTACATTCTACTGCATTCCCACCGTCTATTAAGAAATTTACCCGATTAAAAATAGGCGATAAACCGTAATCTAACCACATTTGTTCTTGTCTTATTTTAAATCTAGTATGTCGGGCCGTGAGTTCAGATCAAGGTTTGGTAGAGTGATTTTCAACCGTAGCAGGGTGGACTTCAACTCCCAGAATCCCCCAGTCAGCAGATGAATTTTC